ACAAAAATTAGCCAGGCACAGTGGCAGGTGCCTGTAATCCCAGCTACTCGGGAGGCTGAGGCAGGAGAATTGCTTGAACCTAGGCAGCAGAAGTTGTAGTGGGCCGAGATCACACCATTGCACTCCAGCCTGGGCGACAGAGTGAGACTCCATCACAAAAAAAGAAAGAAAGTACAATCCTTGATGGAAATGCAGAGTATGAACTACATTGCTGTTACTCTCAAGGATTTACCTAACTGGACAAGGCTGTTTTATTTTTAAAGGGTTCTGCCCAGGGTGCAGAGTCATTCAGAGTAGATACGGATACATGGAAAATCAATGCCTTTGAAAATCTGCAGGGGCACTTGACCCACAGCATTCTTCCTCCATGTGCTGGGGTCGCCTTTATCAGCAAGTCCTCAGGCTGCTCTGCCTGCCGTTTCACTGTGCCCTTTCAGTTTCACTCTTGTTGATATCCAATCAGCTCCTCAACCAGTAACTTGGTCCCTGGCAGTCATCCTCAAACCTTCCTTTCATTCAACTAAAAGTGAACAAATCCTGCCAATCTTACTTCTTCAATATCTCTTAATCTACCCACTTTTCTTATTCTTAACTTTTATGCCAGCCCAACCGCTGATAGAACTTTTTTTTGAAATGGAGTTTCATTCTTGTTGCCCAGGCTGGAGTGCAATGGTGTGATCTCGGCTCACTGCAACCTCCAACTCCTGGATCCAAGCCATTTTCCTGCCTCAGCCTCCCAAGTAGCTGGGATTACAGGCATGTGCCACCACACCCCTAATTTTGTATTTTTAGTAGAGGCAGCTTTCTCCATGTTGGTCAGGTTGGTCTCAAACTCCTAAACTCAGGTGATCTGCCCACCTCGGCCTTACAAATTGCTGGGATTATAGGGTTGAGCCACCGCGGCGGGCCAAAACCTTTTTACTGATGTATTGGTATATACTCCTGGCTCCATTTGATACATTTGATACAGCCAGCATATTAATCTTAAAATGGAAATCTGATGTCAGATACTGCTTGAAATCATTCAATTGTTTTCCACTATTTTTAGGGACTCACATCTTGTATAAAACCCTACCTTCCCACTGGAGCATGAGCTGGACTTAGTGACTCACTTCTACAGAATATAGAAAGGGTAAACAAAGGAACTCTACAATGGAGAAACCTGGAACCACCACTTTGGCCAGGTGATCAAGGTTAAGGTGGTAAGTTGTGTTGATAGCACTCCTTGTTATCATGTGATGAAAAGGCATTTAATATTTGTGGCATTGTTTCCCCAAAACCCATAATCCCAGGAAAACATCAAACATAAATTTGGGGACATTCTACAAAATACCCAACCAGTATTTCTCAAAACTGTCAAGGTCATCAAAAACAAAATGAGGAGGCCGGGTGCGGCGGCTCAAGCCTGTAATCCCAGCACTTTGGGAGGCCGAAGCGGGTGGATCACGAGGTCAAGAGATCGAGACCATTCTGGTCAACATAGTGAAACCCCGTCTCCACTAAAAATACAAAAAATTAGCTGGGCACGGTGGTGCATGCCTGTAATCCCAGCTACTCAGGAGACTGAGGCAGGAGAATTGCCTGAACCCAGGAGGCGGAGGTTGTGGTGAGCCGAGATCGCACCATTGCACTCCAGCCTGGTGAAAAGAGCGAAACTCCATCTCAAAAACAAACAAACAAAAAAACAAAATGAGGAAATTTTCACATTGAAGAAGAGCCTATAGACTTGGTGCAATGGCTCACACCTGTAATCCCAGCACTTTAGGAGGTCGAGACAGATGGATCATCTGAGATCAGGAGTTCGAGATCAGGCTGGTCTTGAACTCCTGACCTCGTGATCCACCTACCTCAGCCTCCCAAAGTGTTGGGTGTGTGAGCCACCACACACCCGGCCGCTTGTTTTATCTTCAATGACAGAAGCTCGTTTATCCATCTCTGCTATTTCCTCCCTCAACTTGCTCAACTTAACTTAGATGAAGTATGTTGAGCTGAAAGTAAACACAACCAGTGAGACTGCATGGCAGGGTTATTGGGTTTTAACTGGTGACACTACCGCTTTTCTTTTAAATTTCTATAATGGCTGCCTACCACCTCGAGCTGAGGGAGTCACCCCTTCTGAAAACTAGCTTGCCATGCCACCCTTAAAATGTGGTGCAGCACTTCAGCTATAGCTCCATCAGCAAAGAGTACAATGGGGTTTCTTTTCTTTTTTGAGACGGAGTGTCGCTCTTGTTGCCCAGGCTGGAGTGCAATGGGGTGATCTCGGTTCACCACAACCTTCGCCTCCTGGGTTCAAGTGATTCTCCTGCCTCAGCCTCCTGAGTAGCTGGGATTACAGGCGTCTGACACCACGCCTGACTAATTTTTTGTGTTTTTAGTAGAGACGGAGTTTCACTATGTTGGTCAGGCTAGTCTTGAACTCCAGACCTCAGACGATCCACCTGCCATGGCCTCCCAAAATGCTGGGATTATAGGCGTGAGCCACTGCGCTGGCCAGGTTTTTTCACTTGACCTGGGCTTCTAACAGCAGCTGAGGGTTTTATTAGGTTAATAAGTTGCTCTTTCCACCTTGTCCTCGCATGACACAGCCTTCCCTCTCTGACTCAGCAACTATCTGCTGAGCATCCCTTCCACACTAGGCCTGGTACTGAGCAGTGAAGATACAGGTGACTACAGAACATGGGCCCGTCTCATACTGCACAGGAAGAACAAGAACAGAGTTACGGAGCTAATAAAACAGTGCTGTGACAGAGGAGGAGGTGCGGTTTAGTGTCAGTTTTGGAGATCTGGGTTAGAATCTGATGACATTTACATAGTACCTACTTGAGCTAGGGCAAGATACTTGGGATTTCCAAACCTGTATCCTCCTCTATAAAAATACTGTAATAATACGTACTTCGTGATTTGTTTTGAGGAACATAGAGAGTACATAAGAAATTTAACATGGCACCTGGCATTGAGTGAACTCAAAAATGGTACCTGTTATCACTGGCCTTATATTGGTGAAGATGCCCGTTCACTCATCCTATAGTTTTTAAATTTTGTCCCGCACTAATCAGCCTTAACGTCTACCTACAACAATCCACTGACACAACAGTGCAAAAATGCAAAAATTAGCCGGGCATGGTGGCGCCCGCCTGAAATCCCAGCTACTCAGGACCGTGAGGCCGGAGTATCGCTTTAAACCGGGGCGCGGAGGTTGCAGGGAGCCAAGATCGCGCCCTGCATTCCAGCCTGAGAGAGGAGGAGACTTTCTCCGCCCCCCCGCCCTCAACAACAACAACAACAAAGTGCTTGGCTTAGTGTCGGGCCCGTAGAAAGCACTCAAATTATAATTATTTTGACCTTAGACCTCTCGTCCGAAATTCGGGTTTCTTACTTTCTGAGGAAGAAACAGGACACAGGCGGTCTCAGAGGCTGCCGCCAGCGGAGGCAATCTCCAATTAAAAGTAGCCATCGATTAAATATTTGCTCAACAAAGTAAACTGTCTCTCCCGGACCCCGTCGAGCGCCCACTCGAGATCTGGCCCAGAGCCAGGCGGGACTGATCCGCGGGTCCCACTCGCCGTGTAAGTGGGTGGAGAACACCCCACACGCCGAGAAGAACAGGCGGGGTGAACGAGGACCGCGTTCGACACCTCAGCCCAGCCCTCAGGGGCTTTCCGTCGCAGGACCCGCGGCGTCCCACTTCCGCAGGCAGTGCACACACGCCCCTTCCGGCGTAGTCCCCACCCTATCACACACCTGACCCCTGCACGTCAGGAGCTCGCCGCCGGGTTCTTTCAGTGCCCGCCGGCGACCACGCCCACTCTCGACTCTGAGGCCACCAACCAGGCCGACCCGCGGGAGGTGGCGGGACAGAGGGAATATGGCGGCAGGGGCCGGATTTTGGCACCGCCTCCCCCAACCGCGGACCCCAGCGGTTGAGCCGACTTCGCTGGGGCCAGCGGCGCTGCGGAACCCGGGATGGGGGGACCCTGGCGGCGGGCCTGGCCCTGCTATCCGCGGGCGCCTCGGCTGGAGTGAGCGGCGGAGACAGCGGGACCGGGATGGAGGATGCTTACTCCAACGTGAACGCGGACCTGGAGGTGCCGAAGCTGCAGGAGCCGCTGAAGAAGCCGGGGAAGCAGCACAACCGCTGAGGAGCTGCTTGAACTATGCAGGGCCCCGGCTCCCTCCGCCCGGCAGCGCGGTTCGCAGGCGCCTGCACTCCCTCCTACGGTGCGGGGGTCCCCTCGAGGCTTCTCCTTGGGCTTCAGCGCCAACTCGGGCTGCCGCTCCGGATGGACCCGAGGCGGAAGAGTAGTGCGGAGCTGCGGGACGCCGCCTCCTTGCCGCGGCGGGCGAGGGCAGCTTGCTGGAGGAGCTGGAGCGATTGTCACCCTGGGAGGAGCGGGAAGAGAGCAGGAGATCGCGGGGCGGGGAGGGGACGGCGGCCCTGGGGCGGATAGCGTCCCCGAGGGTCCCTTTGGTCCGGCGCCTGGCTTTGTGCAGTCAGGTCCGCTCTCCGGCGGGGGACTCATGGTGTTCTTGATCCGGTATTGCAGAGGGAAGGTCAGCTGGAGTTGGGGGTTCGAGGCATGCGAGTTAACAGGACTGGTAGCTGCTTCTCTGGATTGTTGACCCTCTGGGTGCTGGGCACTACTTGGGTCTGTGGGGTAGTTGGATTGTGCACCGTGGGGAGGAGTCGGAGGTGGGAAACTGCTTTGTATGAGAGACCGACTTTCGGATGGTGGCCTGGGCATTTTGGATGTCGGGGAGGGGTCGACTTGATAAGGTATTGGTGTTTGGGATCAATTTCTAGCGGGGATGAGGAGACCGTGTGGATCAGCATCCCCCTTTGGGTAGTGGGGTAAAGCTTGCTACGTATGAAGAAAGCAGAGGATGGTGCTGCTTTGTGTGAAGAGTCAAGGGTGGAACAAGAGCCCTGGCTCTGATTTTTTAAAACAAGAAGTGAGTCTGGCATTTTGAAGAGCTCTGAATTGACAGTTTCCACGTCCTCCTAGGGGCAGAGAAAAAGTCCTATTTAAAAATCTAAACCAAAGCTGTATTGTCATAAGCCACTTCTTGATGGTGACCCACACTTAATATGACTTTCATAAATAGTACATGGGAGCTTTCCCCCTCGTTGTCTGTGGGAAATTCTCTTAATTCATCCTTCTTAACGTTTTGCCTTTTAGCTAAAATGTCTTTGCTCTGTTGAAATTCAAGCTTCTAACGGTGAAATCGAAATCATTCATAGACTCTGGTATTGCAGGGCTACAACTGTGCGGTGTTCGGAGTGGATTCAGGCCCTGGTTTTGCTGCGTACTAGCTGTATTGACCTTGAGCAATACTCTGAGCTTCACTTTCTTCCTTTATGATGGAGAAAATAATAGCACCTCTATAGAGTTAGGAAAATTTAGTAAAATTCCTGTATGCATTTAGCACTAGATATGGCATATTGTAAACTCTCTAAAACTAGCTGCTATTTATTACTCTTAAGCCTAGTTATTTAAATCAAGAAACATTTAGTGAGCTCTCACATGTTATAGGAGATTCTGAAGATTCTTAAGTGTTTGTCCCTGTTCATAAGGCAGTTTTAGTCTTGTTGAGCACTAAGTTCTATGCAGTTCAATAAACTAGAAAGTGCATAGTGAATTGCTGAAAGAGTGATAGAACAAAAAGTACTGACAGTGCTCAGTAACTGGGAAGAAAATAGTAGTCCAAAGTAGTTGGGCCAAACTTTGAGGAGGAGGTGGCTTTGGAGTTTGGAAGGGAGGCAAGAGTGGCTTCCCACTCTTGCATTTTATGCTCTGACAGCTAGCTACAAGAACAGAGTCAGAGGTATTTGTAACTCCCAGTTAGGAAGATTTGAATAACAGAAGTACTCTTGAGTATATGATGACAAGCCTTTATTTTTTTTACCAAGTGTTACCAAATATTAGAGCTATGGTAAAGTTTTTCATATAAATGTGAAATTGCGTCCTCCCAAAGGAATCCTAAGTATGTATGTGCTTTAAAAGAACCCAAAATTATCTGAATATTGTCATATGGCTCTTGCAAATGATGATGATAGTGATGCTCATAATGAGAATTTGCTGCACTCAGCAGCCCATTTTAGATTACGTATTATTAGAACACATTAAGTCCACTTGGAGAAGCCAGTTAAGTCTTTGGCTGCTTTGGTTCCTGAGCATGAGTTTGGTTAAGCTTTGTAAAGACTTCCTAAATACTATGCCAGGAGTTTGTTTTGACCAGATGATTCTTGCTGCTTGCTTTGATCCTGGCTTCGTATCTAGATGTTATAGAAGTCCTACACTTTTTCTGAGGGCACTTGCGTTAAACTGAAATTTGGATAAGTCATTCTGTCTCAGAATATAGTATACTATATTCTTCAGGAATCCTCATATACTCATTCTTATCTTCCTTTCTTTTTCCGAGTTCGAGGGATTCTCCTGCCTCAACCTCCACAGTACCTGGGATTACAGGTGAGTGCTATTTTTGTATTTTTAGTAGAGATAGGGTTTTTCCATGTTGGCCAGGTTGGTCTTGAACTCCTGACCTCAGGTGACCCACCCACCTTGGCTTCCCAAAGTGCTGGGATTACAGGTGTGAGCCACTGGGCCCAGTTTATCTTCCTATATAATTTAAAAGAAAAAAGGAAGCGAATGTCTGGGCTGGTCTCCTTAAATAATAACTTTAGTTCTACAAGCAGAATATATTATACCATTTTTCCTCCTCCTCTGGCATGTAACATAAAAATATTGTTAAACTAACTTTAGCACTTCAATGTTGTTGAGGTTAAACACATATTTAATATACATATTTTATGTTTACAAATATATAAATGTGGATTAGGTCTACTTACATATATTTAGATTTTTGTCATTCTTATTCATATTTTCACAAAGTAGGTAAAATATTTTAATTTTCTAATAATTCAAACTAATTTTAGAACCTATAGGAATACTGCAGATAGAAAATTATCTGTTTAGTTTTTTTGTTGTTGTTTTGAGACGGAGTTTCACTCTGTTGCCAGGCTGGAGTGCAGTGGCGAAATCTTGGCTCACTGCAACTTCCACCTCCTGGGTTCAAGTGATTCCTCTGCTTCAGCCACCCAGGTGGCTGGGACTACAGGCGCACACCACAATGCCTGGCTAATTATTTATTTTTTTGTATTTTAGTAGAGATGGGGTTTCACTATGTTGGCCAGGCTGGTGTTGAACTCCGACCTCATGATTGACCCACCTTGGCCTCCCAAAGTGCTGGGATTAACAGGCGTGAGCCACTGCACCCGACTAGGGTGCTTTATTTGTAAAAGGAAGATGTGGCTTGTGTTTAAAACACAAGTTTTATTTTTATGTAGGAGTAACTGGCTCAGGAGTCCCCTTTGATTTTGGATGTAACCCCTACGAAGGAAAGCACCCTTTGAAAGACAATTGGGTTGTACAAAAGTCATCACAGCAGTGGTGACCCTTCAAGTGATAGGTACATCAGGCAGTGGCAGTGTCAGCGTCAGGAAGCTGGCCTCCCAAATGCAACTGCGGGTCCAGAGCTGGCAGGAAGAGCTGGAACAGTTAAAGACCCATCCAGTCAGAAGGTAACTTCTTCTGGCTTCTGTCTTACCCGACATCAGCAGACCGAGGACGGGAGGAGTAAAGCCTGATTTATGTTTTTCTGAATCTTTTCAGGGCCAGCTTTGTTTCCCAGAAGCTGCTTTTCCTTGGAGGTTTCATATTGCCATGGCCGTCATCCTAGGCGTGGCTGCTGTGCTTGATCACTGGTTCAGAGGTGTTTGCATTTGCAAGGAGAGTGACGATCTCTGAAAGGAGGGCTCAGGACGTTGCTGTGTGTACTCATGGCCAGTCCTGCCCCTGAAATTGGATCTCCCTAAACACAGTTTCAGCCCAGAGTTCTTTAACAGTCGTTAAAAAGACTTTCTACCTTCTATTCAACAAGTTTCCTGAGCTAATCAGCTCTAATTACACTTAACTGTTCAGCAGTTCAGTGACTCTTAGAATACAGATTTTTTAATACCCATGAATATTTACTGGACACCATTGCTAACTAATTACAGTGTGTAAGTCCATTATTTTCTGTTTCCTATTATTGTTCTCTACAGACAGTCTTTATGGAGTAAATATTTTTTCTCTATTTTTGAGATCCTTCAAGAGGAGGTTCAGTATTAAATGTTTCCAGTAAAGTTTCTACGTTTCCTCAAATTCTGACAATTGCTCCATGTCATGATTTCTGCTTTTCCTCCTCTCCTCACCCTTCCCTCCATTCTCCTTTTAGCTCCTAGGAGCTTGTTCAGCTGCTCCAGCAGACAGTGTGGTCATCCCAGTATGACAGGTATTTCAGTAGCAGCCAGCTCTGTGAGGGGGTCCCAAAGGACACGCTTGAGCTTCTGCACCAAAAAGATAATCAGATTCTGGGCCTCACCAGCCAGCTGGAGAGTCTCAACCTAGAGAAGGAGAGTCTTCAGCAGGAAGTGAGGATACTGAAGAGCAAAGTGGACGAGCTCAACGAGCAGCTGGGGATACTGATGGAGACTGTCCAAGCCAAGGACGAGGTCATCATCAAGCTCAGCAAGGGTGATGGCAGCGGGCCTCCTCCCACCACAGCACCTGTCTCCCCTTCAGCCGTGCCTATTGGCAGGGACCAGCTGGAACTGGACAGGCTGAAAGTAAGAGCAGGGCACGGTTTCTCGTGATTGGCATGAGAGACCACTGATGTCACCGTAGAGGCCTGGCCTCCGTGAGCTGATTTGGTGTGATGGCAGAACAGCTGCACACTTTTTTTCCCCCCCACAAGTGTAATAGCATTTGCCATCAAATAATCATTAATCTTCTGTGGAGCTTCCTTGGAAAAGAAAACTCTTGCTTTTGCTTGGAGCAGTTTCAAATCTTTCCCCTCACTTGCTTTCAGGCAACTGAGACTTCTCTTTCTGTATATACCACTTTTTCGTTATCCTGTGTAACATATGGAGGCTGTTTCTTGCCCCTGCTGTGTACATGAAGGCACACACAAACTTAATTTGTACAGTTAGATGCAGGACCTAGTGGGTGCCTGGTTTGGGGCATTGTTCCCAACAGCTATTATAGGGTTAGCTGGGGAAGTGGACTCCAGCTTCCAAGCAGGCCTGGGAAGAGGGCCTGTTCAGAGTCAGTACCCCCAACACCCCAAGGTGGGAGGCTCCTGGTGAAGAGGAAGACGCAGGCATCTCAGATCAGCTTCCTCTTTGACTTTCACACTACATTTCAATAGAAGAAAAGGCTGATCAACTGGTGCCTCCTGTTTCACTTTCCTGTAGGTGGCAGGCTGGGTCTCAGGGAAACTCTCTGGAAGGCACTATTTTTACTTAAAAGAAGATCAAACCAGAAACCTTTTCACATGTGAGTCATAAAACTGTAAACTGGAACTCATTCATATGTGATTCCTGAAACTGTAAACAGAAACCTTTTCACATGTGAGTCCTAAACCTGTAAACTGGAACCCTTTCATATGTGATTCCCGAAACTGTAAACCAAAACCTTTTCACATGAGTCCTAAAAATAGGAACCAAACCTTTTCATGTGATTCCTGAAGCTGTAAATCGAGACCCTTTTCATATGTGATTTCTAAAGCTATAAACCTAAGATTCTTCCATGTGTAATATCTAAAGTATAAGCCTATATAAAGGCAGAACCTTCCTTTGTGGGACGAGCTGAATTTGGACAAATTATTTCTCAGCTCCTGGCTATAATAAAGACCTCTTCCTTCCCCATTCAGTGTTGGGGAGCTGTGTTTCTTGAGGTCGTGCCTGCTACAGTTTGACCCAGCAGACCCCAAACATGTCTGCTGCTACTGGTCTCACCTAGCCCCAAGGTGTCCCTCACCTGGCCCCCTTCTTGCAAATACTGTGTCTCCAAAGGTGTCTGGCTCCTGATGGAGCTTGTCCTTGGAGGACAGAGGTTTGCTGCTGTCCAGGTTGTTACTGAGCATTTGCTTCATGCCAGCAGTACCTTTCAGGCACTGTTAATGCATCTAGTGAGGGAATGATGGGCATGCTAGGGACCCTGAAGATAATTCCAAAAGAAGTAAAAGCACGAATCATGGCAGCATGGCTGGAATATGTACATAGTCCCCACAGTGACCACTTCTCACTGACAATACCCATTGGATATGTGAGGCCAGAGGATTTATGAATGAGAAAATCCAAAACAACAATAAAAACCTCTGGTCTCAATACTTGACACTTATACCTACTATTTAAAAAAAAAAAAAATTGCCGGCCAGGTATGGTGGCTCACGCCTGTGATAGCAGCACTTTGGGTAACCAAGGTGGGCACATTGCTTGAGCCCAGGAGTTTGAGACCAGCATAAGCAACATAGTGAAAAACCCCCGTCTCCAAAAAAAAAAAAAAAAATGCCAGGGGTAGTGGCCTTTACATGCAGCCCCAACTACTCAAGAGGCTGAAGTGGGAGGATTGCTTGAATCCTGGAAAGCAGAGCAAGGCTGCAGTAAGCCAAGATCCTACCACCGCATTCCAGCCTAGGTAACAAAGCGAGACCCCGTTGCAAGAAAAAAAAAAGCCTTTTTTTTTTTTTTTTTTAAATAAGAGGTAATGGTTAGTGTTGCCAATAGAAGTTGGGTTTATTAATGTACACAACATTGAATATACATGACCCTAAATATACACCTGTCAGTAATACACATTTTGTGATTACTAAATGACTGCAGAACTTTTTATATTTATATATATTTTTTGAGACAGAATCTTGCTCTGTTGCCCAGACTGGAATACAGTGGTGCAGTCTCAGCTCACTGCAGCCTTAACCTCCCTGGCTCAAGAAATCCTCCAGATTCAGCCTCCTGAGTAGCTGGGACTATAGGCGTACATCACCACACCCGGCTAATTTTTGTATTTTCAGTAGAGACAGACTTTCACTGTGTGGGCTGGCTGGTCTTGAACTCCTGAGCTCAAGTGATCCACCTGCCTTGGCCTGAAAATACTGAGATTGCAGGCATGAACCATCGCACTCAGACAGCTGAAGTTTTTATTTTGCAAGTGTGTCTACCTTTGTAGTGTGTAGAACAATACTATAGTGGTGGGTTTCCAGTGTGTGGCTCTTGGCAGTGGGGGAGGCGTGTGGAGCAGGTTTTCCTGGTGAGCGAGGCTGGGTGTGTGTGTGTGTGTGTGTGTGTGTGGAGAGTGTGCCTCGTGGCTATTGCCACTGTGCGGCTCCTTCTGGAGACAGCTAATGGAGCAGATCAGGATACGACGTTCCCTCATTTCTTTTTGCAGCATAATGGGTGGAGTGCTTTTGAATCAGCATGAAGTTTTTTTTCTCCAACATTTCTCAACAAGTTTAACAATTTTTAACAACTTAACAAGCCTGTGGTTCCAAAATATCACAACGTTGAGGTTAAGTGGTGACAGTTGATGAAGCAGCAAAGTGGTGGTTGGGTGGATTCCAGGGAGACAGTTGAGGCTGGCTTTGGTCC